CTAGCGATGGCTCAGGAGCAAAGGGGCACAGTGGCACTGTTGAGGGCCAGGCGGGCTCTTAGCATCTTGCCCACCTTGGTTTTATCGGTGGCCACAGTCTGGCAGTTAACAGTAATTTCCTGGGTCTTCACCATATGAAGAACAAGGGAAAATATTCAGATTTAGAAAGTAGAATGGGACTGCTAGGGGCTAGGGAGAGGGGAACTGAGGAGTTAGTAAATACTAACACTATCAGAAATAGTGTTTCCGTTTTGCAAGATGAAAGGAATTCTGCAGACGGATGGGGGTGATGGTTGCACAACAATGTGAATGTGCTTAATGCCACAGAACTGTACTGTTAAACATAGTTACAATGGTAAATGTGTTAAATGCATTTTACAGCAATTTAAAACAAACATTGCTTAGACCATCTTTCTGCCTGCTTCCAGCGGAAAGGAAGAGGACCTGGAAGTAAAATAAAAGCCAGAGTTTCACTGCTCAGCCTGCTCTGCCTAACACCCAACCCTGCTATCCTTCTGGACTTGGTACTTCTTCAGAAAAGCCTTCAAAATGATCTTTGAATTCTGATGATGCCAGCAACTTAGCCTTACATCAGGTCCCAAAAGGCAAAAAGAAGTGGCAGCCCGGCCAGAATGGCCCAGTGGTTGAATGTCGACCTATAAACCAGGAGGTTACCGTTCGACTCCCGTTCAGGGCACATGCTCAATTCCCAGTGGGGCATGCAGGAGGCAGCCCATCAATGATTCTCTTTCATTGATGTTTCTTTCTCCCTCTCCTTTCTCCGAAATCAATAAAAATATATTTTAAAAAAAGAAGTAGTAGAATTTGGTACAATACTGGATGGATTACAGGAGGAAAACAAAAGTAGAGGAGAGAGGCGATAGTTTGGGGTTTTTAGATTCTTTACTGTGTCTACACCTGAAAAAACAGAGGCCCAGCCCCCCACTTGTCTGTAAGGCTGCCCTCAGCCCACCTCACCTCACTTGCATTTCTTTTCCTTGTTTGGGAAGACTGCCTCACCTCGACACAGGACATGTGGGTGCAGTAAGAAAAAAACTTCCCAAGAAAAAGTGCTTCCCAAAAGTTAGTCCCAACTCAGAGCCACCCAGAAGACAAAGACATCAGGCAGTCCCGAGGGCCCAGACTCAGCAGAAACCCAAGCAGAAAGGCTCTCAGAGCGGCGCTGAGGCGGACACGACCCAGGGACAGAGCCCTCCCCCTATGCCTGGGACTCCTGGCAACCACATCACCTGCTGTGTCCCTCTTGGTCCAGTGCCGGGGCCCAGACAAGCCCTCCCCGCCCCCCCACTGCCCCAAGTCTCCCCCTTCCCCCGCTGTGGGTTCTTTGGAGCCCTCTGGGGGGCGTTCTTCCTTCTGCTAAGGAACCATTAAGAGCTGCACACACAACACACCTAACTCCTCTCCCAAACGCACCTCAGCGCCTACCTTCTCAACCTGAAAGCAGAAATTCTGCAACAATGCATTTACAAAGGGGGTTAATTCAACTTAACAAATATTTACTTGTCTTTACCATATAAGCCTCAGGCCAGACAATGCAGAAAGATACCAAGAATTAGTGCCCAAGCCCAGCTGGTGTGGCTCAGTGGTTGAGATAATTTTCCCAAAAAAGGAAAAGAAATTTCCCAAATGCAACTGGGAGGTCACAGTTCGATTCCCGGTTAGGGCACATGCCTGAGCTGTGGGCTCGATCCCCAGTGTGGGGCGTGCAGAAGGCAGCCAATCAATGGTTCTCTCTCATCACTGATGTTTCTATCTCCCTCTCCCTTCCTCTCTGAAATCCATAAAAAATTAAAAAGAATTAGGGCCCAACAATGAAGAAACACACACACACACACACACACACACACACACACGTGTCACAATCAATTTGTTAAGATAACATTTAAACAAACAAATAGTAACACTATATAAAAGCCAAGTGATAATTTCAAAGAGATTGTGACTAAGTTTTAAGAAAACAGTCCAGCTATAAAATGGTACAAGAGTTCATACATGCCGATTAACTATGGAGGTCTAGGGAGCCGGGGTCTATGGAGCAAAGTTTGGCTACTGGCTGCTCAGAGCTGCTGGGCTTGGAGAGCACGTCAAGTGGGGCCATTGTCCAGGCTGGAGAGCCTGAGCATGCCACAGGAAGTGGTACCTATGCTTCCTGGGTAAAAGCCACACACCTATGCAATTCTGCTAGCCCTGTGGTCACCTGATGTACAGGGACACTTCACAGAAGCTCCTTCATACAAGAAACAGGCCCACCCCTATTCCTTGCCTGGCCCTTACCACACCAGCCAGCAGGCTAACCCTGCCCCATCACCTCTCCCATTCCCAGAAAATCTAATGGCTGAGTCCTTCCGCACCTTTTAAAGAACAGGGATGACAACAACTCATGTTTTCATTTTTAAAAATTTAAGTCACTGACAAGATCTCACTGTTTCTAAGCCTTGGCACTGATGACCTCTGCAATCCGATACTCTCCTGGGGGTGCTGTTCTGTGCATCATAACACATCAAGCAGCACCCTGACCTCCAACTACCAGGCCAGTAGCAACCCCTTCTCTCCACACAGCGGGAGAACCACAGAGGACTCCCGACAGGGAGCCTTAGAGGCACTGTGGTCCCCGCTGAGAAAGCCTCCAGCATGGCTGCAATTCCATCCACACACACTCTGCCGGAAGAGCTCTGCTCCAGGTCCCAGGACTCCCGCTGGCCAGGGCGAGGCAAGGATCTCGGCCTCAGGAAAACTGACCTCTGGGCTGGAGCTCCAGGATTCTGGGTCACGCTCACCCAGCAAGTGGCCATGAAGAGTGAGGCCTGATACAAACCACTGGGAGCAGGACCTGCCTGTAACCACAGGGCAATGGCTGGTGATGCTGACCGCGGTCGACTGCCCCTTCACCCAGACTCTTCGTACGTGCAACCCAGACGCTTCCTTGCAACCCTGCCCAAACGTAAGAGAAAATCCTTATACATGAAATGCTGCTTTTTCAAAACAACTGCCACATTGTTTTTTCACTCATAGAAACAATGCCATTTTCTTCCCTGAGAGGCAGTGTATCTGTACTGCCCACAGTTTGGGCAGATCAGCACTAACTGGCTCACAGGGTCCTGAAGTTCCAAGGTCATCTGTCAGAAAGCGGCCCATGGCCCAAAACCCTCAACTCTGGGCATCCCCCAATGCCCTCCCCACAGCCCAGGTTTCTCCTGGGGCTTCTTTCTTGTCTCACGTCACTAGCACAGCTCCCCTTCTGCCCAACCAGCACCCAGGTTGCTGGGGGACCAAATTGTCAGCACGGTCAGTCCTCAGGGCTCAGCAGCTCTTGGGATGCAGCACATGCTCTGCGTTTGTGCCCACACAAAGGCGTCCCCAGTAGCCACACTCTTTGTGCCGTGCAACTGAGCTGCAGGGAATAATGAACTGTGCTGGACTCCAGTCAGACCTACAGAAGATCTCCTGGCCAGAATACTAATCGACGTGCAAGAAAAGTTAAGGGAACTCTTTTCGGGATGTCATTGCCCGTCCAGTCTGAACATAACTCAGTGACCTGAGGCTCTTCTCTAACTGCTGTCTTCGCAGTGGACAGGCCACAGGCAGCGGGGAGGACACAGGGAACCAACCCCCAGGCTCTTAGCAGCCCAGCTCCTGCTCCAGCGCCGCGCAGGCATCACAGCCAGTGGGGAGAACTCATGGGGAGCACTGGCTCTGCCTCCACACCTGCCGCCTTCAGTTCTCCCACTCCCACCTCTCGCAGGTTCCACCACCCCATTAGCTCTCACCTCCAACCCAGTCACCTCAAATCATTCTGGAGCACAGATGTTTCCATGATAAAATCCTCTGTGGCCCATCCACATTGCACAAATATGCTCACAGAAAGAATGAGAAGAAAGTTCTTTTTAAGAAGGAACCAATGAGATGATAGTCAATAAAGAACTAAGTGTCATACCTATTAATTCTACACTAGATATCATACCTATTAATTCATCCCAAAAACAAAATAGAGAAAGTATCCTAGAACAAAGATTAGGACCCACACGTGGAAGTGAACCACTTATATTCACCTATTAGCTGTAATAACCTCCCTAAAACCCACGTGTCCACACAGTGTGAAGCCCTTGGGCAGACAGTCATTTCTGCTCACACCTCTAGACCTTCCTGCAAAGGGATAGGTCAATCTATATTTTACACGGTGTGACTAAATTTCTAGGATAATCACAACTTAAAAATGCTGTACAAATGAATGCCCTCACATTCACAGACTGGAACCAGAAAAGATGCTCAAATTCTTCATCTCCAACCCTTTATAAAAGCTTGGAATTCATTCATACCTTAGTCAGGAGACCAATCTCCTTTAGAGAAAAAAAATCAGTACACAAAATGAGTAGGAAAAGAAAAGCTAGGACATTCTACCTGGTTGGTTTTCGAGTTTGCCTCTGGACCAAGAGCAATAAACACTCATCCAGACCAGGAAGCAGGAAGCAAACCAGGCAGTGACAGGGCAAGAAGGATCTACAGGCCCTGGCTCAGAGGCTAGAAGAACAATGACAACCAGGAGGCTTCTGCAGATCAGCTGGATGAGCAAGACCAATTACAGCCACGGAACAGAAGGGCAATCTTGGACTACAGCAGGTGAACATGTGCCCAACTTCCACATGCCTGTACAACCCAGCAGCCTCCCGTCTGCCCTGCAGGTCCACAGCCTGCTCCACTTCCCCGAGGAGTGCTCTGGCCAAGTCCAACTCCTAGAAGCCGTGGATAGAAGACTTCCTCCCACTTACACACTCTCACCCATGACCACTGAAGATGCTACAAACCAAGGTCTAGGTTTTAAGGATCGGCTCTAGCATTGCCACAAGTTCTTCAAAAATCCCAGGCTCCAAAACAGAAGCCCAAGTGAGAGCACACACATGCTGTGTCACAGGTGATGCAAATGCACCACAATGAAGCAGCCTGGCAAGCTGGAGACAGGAGGGGCCAAGAAGGACACTCACCATCTCATCCAGGGCGTAGCGCAGAAGGCCGTGCTCGTAGAGGATAAAGAACCGCCGCTGCCATTTCTGCAAAGGAATGCGAAGTGGGTGTTTAGGAGGGTTTTGACCCTGATCTCCCCTTGTTGAGACCCGGTGTCTGGCAAACCTGTATTTAAAGAAAGCCGATTCCACAGCTGCCATTTCTGAGGCAGATGGCAGGAAAAGGAGGGACCCCAGGCGGAAGAACAGTAGTTTATTACCCAGGTCTGGGCCAGAGAAGCCCAAAGCACCCAGTATGCTTCCATACAAGTTACTGAGAATTAACAAGATGTCGGGTTTATTTTAGTTGCAAGCTTTAGGAGCAGAAATGTCTTGTTCACCTTTCTGTATTCTTTAGGTACCCAGCACAGAGCTTATCACATGGCATGTGTCAATGTTTATTTTATGAATTATCTGACATGATATGGAATAACCTGAGAACACCAAGCACTGGTCCCCACCTCTGAGAAACTAGAGGCAACTGTTCTAAGTGTTATTCCAGTGATCCACAGGGAACGGGAGACAGGGACAGAGATGGCCAGCTCTAGTCCTCACTAAGAAGTGAGCTAACAAAAATCAAAACTGTCGAGTGGGAACAACTAACTCCGATGTCCAGGGAGCATGTGACTGGCAGGGTGCCCTCTCCTCTCTCCAACCAAAGGCCAGCACTAGGGACAAGATGGTCCCATGGCACTGACAGTGGAATAAAAAGGACCCATGAGGATATGTGCCTTCTTCATGAGGATCCATGACCCGTTTTCAACATTTCAAACAGCCCAACATAATTCCTACTTTTACCGGCAATAAGGTCACAAGAACTAACTAAAATATCACGTCTCTGCTTTGGGCCAGAATTCCATCATTGATATGAATGATTTCCCGGAGAAGCAATTCTATATGACCTTATATAAGTGGCGCCTGCAGGCACTGAAGCCCAGCCCTCCCTTCTGGGGGCAGAAACAGGACACTCACAGAGCCTCACAAAGGGGATTGTAGAGGACTGGTCCCCGCCGGGTGTCCAGGGAGAAACTCTTCCCGACAAACATTTCCAAGGATCTATTTGTAGTCTCTAAAGACAAAGCCCATTCTGGAAGGAATCCCAAAGGACCCAGATACAATCCAAGGTCTGTGGGGCCCACAAGCCCCGCCCCAGAGTATAGCATTCAGGCTGGGGGCAGCAGAGACTGAGACAGGCCAGCGGCTCTCTGAGTGAGCAGGGGTAAGAGGGAGCAGAGTTGGAGAAATGTATAGTGCACAGGCAGCTGCACCTGGAAAAAGCATGTGGAAGAGGAAAGAGGTGTTTTAGTTGAAGTCAAATCCAAAGGGGATCCCCGGCAGAGGAATAAACACCTCGATCAGGGGCAAGGCTGGTTTGACCATCTCACTGCTCCTGCGGCCTGTGCACAACAGGGACCATGGGCTGTGCCGCACCCCTTTCCTAGCACCTATGTGCTGAACCCCTGGCGAGGGAGGAAGGGAGGAGAGGGAAGAGGGAGAGGAGGGAGCTGCAGGAGGCAGGGCCGTGGCGCTGAAGGAACTAAGTAGCATACCTGCAAACAATGACTGAACTGCCCTTTTGACTTTTCCTTTTCCATTTAACTATTTCTAGAGTCAAGCTGAGCCATGACGCAAGCAGCACCATGTGAGTTCCTCATTGTGAAGGGAGCACCAGATTTAACTGCGTAATTGAGACATTTCCTGTGGGCACTCCAAGTCTGCCAAGTGGAGGTTCCCCGCAGACCCTACCACCCCCTAACCGGCTGTCAATTCTGCATCTCCCTCTTCAATTCTGTCAGTATGCCCTCTCTGGTCCCTCCCGTCCCGGGAGTCCATGATTCCCTTACCCGAGACCGATGTACTGGATTGTCAAAGTCAGTCCCATCTGGAGCCAAGAGCAGCCAGCCACCATAAATGGGTTTTGCCTAGAGGAGAAAAGGGAGGTCATCAGTGGAGAGAGAACAAATTTCAACCGTCAAATTAATGACAAGTACTTGGGAGAAACAGAAGTCATCTCTGCTTAGCACATTCCACACAGCTCATCCCCCAGCCACAGGCTGAGTCTCCAAGAAAGATGTTTAACACAGAGGCTCATGGGAGGTCTGTAGCATTTGGTATGAAGACTGGAACACAACACCCAGCAGGAAGCTGAGAAAGTGCAGAGTTTAGGAACTCCTAAGAAACAGATGCCTCTCTCAAGTTCCCAATCACCAAGATCAGGAAAAAATGGCATTTTCTTCAAAAGCCATGTGAGTACCAATGTGTGCCATCACATGAACAACAACAGTCAAACACCCTCACCCTGATGGTCACACCAGGGTTCAGGAGAAAAGACACTGCTTTAGTGATCACAGCTAGCACTGGCCAAAGAGCCATCAAATTAGTGGCTGTATGACCTTGGCCTGAAAACCCTTTGAGTCTCAATTATCCCATTTGAAAGGGAGGAAGAGAGATAATAATTATATCTAGACCCTATGAAACTTATATGAGGTTAGAAGAGATGATGCAAAGGTGCATAAAATGGTGTAGCCACTGTGGAAAACAGGCTGGCAGTTCCTCAAAAGATTAAATATAGAATTCCGTGCAACCCAGAATTCCATTCCTAAGTATACACATCCAAGAAAACTGAAAGCAGGTGCTTAAATAAAAACTTGGATATGAATATTAACAGCACCACTGCAAACAATGACCAAAAGGTAAAATCACCTTAATAACCATCAACAGATGAATGGATAAACAAACCTGGTGTATCCATACAATGGAATATTATTCAGCAACAAAAAGGCATTAAGTACTGACACACTACAACGTGAAGACATTAGGCTAAGTGTGGGCAGACAGACACAAAAGACCACAGACATATTTTATGATTCCATTCATATAAATAAGTAAATCCACAGAAACAGAAAGAGGTTAGTGTTACTAGGACATCTGGAAATGAGAGATGGGAGTGAACACTAACAGGTATGCGTTTTTTTTTTATGGTGATGAAAATGTTCTGGAATTAGTGGAGATGATTGCATGAACTTGTGAATATACTACAAATTACTGAATGGTACGCTTTAATTTTATGGTGTGTGAATCCTATTTTTTTTTAAAAAATCTGAGCTCAGCTGGGCGTGGCTCAGTAGTTGAGCATCAGCTTATAAACCAGGATGTCATGGTTCTATTCCTGGTCAGGGCATATGACTGGGTTGTGGGCTCAATCCCCGGTTGGGATAAGCGGGCATTCAGGAAGCAGCTGATCAATGATTCTCTCTCATCATTGATGTACTATCTCTCTCTCCTTCTGCCTTCCTCTCTGAAATAATTAATTAATTAATTAATTAAAAGCGAGGGAAAATGCTGAGTACAGAGTTTCGCCTACAAGTGCTTAATAAAAGTTATTATTATATTTTTATATTCAAAGAGTCTCCCTCATCGAGACCCTGGCAGTAGGAGTTCAACATGAGCTAAGAAGTCCGGAGAGGTACTGCGGCTCTGCCTCCCTCCCATCTTAGCCCACCGAGAGTGAGAAGGGTTGGAAAGGGCATAAGAAGGCCTGTTTGTCTACTAGCCTTTGGGGCTGTAACACCAGTGAAAACCCAGCTCTGCCTTCCATACAAGGGCTGATCTCTGGGTGAGCCTTCGGGGGCCTGCTAAGATGCCTTTTAGTTAATATTTTCCAAACTGGGAGGCCATGTCACACCACCTCACCTCAATAGCTGTGGAATCTGTAAAGGGAAGGTCATTTGCCAGAGGTCACACAGCATCTGGATAAGACAAGAACTCTCTTTTTTCTTAGCTTCTGCAGTGTCCTCAAGACCCCTAAGGGAAGCCCTGGCTTATCTCCTGAACAGAAACAGAGCAGGTAACAGGGTTTTGGGAAAGGGCTATGGAGTGAGCTGATGAAAGTAAGTTGAGAGGTTGGCTTTGATGACACATGGAGTAGGTGCTGGCAGGGAACCAGGGGTTAGGGACACAACTCAGGAGGCCATGAGCTGGGTGAGGAAATAAATCTGCCTGGGAGATCAGAGCACACAGCCATGCCCTCGTAGGTGAGCACACTCAGCCTCTCCCATATCACCCAGCTGTGCAGTTGGCAGATCCAGGTCAGCCCGCACGAAGGACGAGAGGTCAGCAATAGGGTGGGTCTCCTGGGCTGGTGGATCCCCATTTTACTCTCAGCCTGGGAGCTTGGACCGCAGTCATACCTCCCCATTTCTGCTTAGATTTAATTGTATACCTCCCTCCTAATCTCCACGTGCAGGGCTCTGAGGCACCTTCCCACCATCTGCTATTGTTACTGGACCTGTCCCTGGAAGAGACAGTGGGAGACCTGAAGGACTGACACAGTTCCCTCAGAACCCAGCCACTGTTTCATCCCGGCCCACCATCAGGTCATTATTCACTCAACAAATGTCTCTCAGGCCTACTGTGCGAATAGCCTCATGTGCTGTACACAGGGGAGCCTGCCAGCATCCACTTGCTTAGCTATGACTTCCTTCTACAGAGCACCCCAAAGAGTACCTTTCCCGGTGTGCAGGGTGTCCTGAAAGATGGGAAGGCTGGGCCAATGGAGGGTCATTCGACCTCCCTTCCTACAAACCAACGGACCGGCTTAGTATTGCCTTTTGAAACTTTTGTCCGGATCTCTTTGAATTAACAAATATAATGACAGAGGATTTCTTATCAAGCACTATGGAGATCTTCAGCAGGGTCACTTAAGCCTATCTGTTGATCTTCTTATTTCAGTTATTGAATTTTTCAGTTTAAAAATCTCCTTTTGGGGGGGGGGGGGAAGAGAGAGACATCATGGACATAGACAACAGTGTGGTGATTGTGATGGTGAAGGGAGATGGGAAGAGGTGGTAGAGGGCATAGAGGAGATAAAAGGTAATGGAAAATAGTGGGAATCAAAGGAAGAATCAGTGAACTGTGAGACAAAATAATAGAAACTATCCAATCTGACAACAGAGAGAAAACAGACGAGACCTGTGGGTCTGCAACAAAAGCTCTAACATTTGTGTCATAGAGTCTCAGAAAGAGGGGAGGAGGATTGGGCAGAAATAGCACTTGAAGAAAGAATAGCTGAAAACTTCCCAAATTTGGCCAAAGTAACAACCCATAAATTTAAGAACTTGAATGACTCCAAAGAATTGGGGGGGGGGGGGGGGGGGAGATCCACACCAAGGCATATCAAAATTAAAGTCTGAAAACTAAAGCCAAAGGAAAAAAATCTTGAAAGCAGCCAGAGAAAAAACAACAACTATAGATAAGAGAAAAACAAATATAATGACAGAGGATTTCTTATCAAGGACTATGGAGATCTAAAGAAAGTGATACAATATTTTGCAGATGCTGAAAGAAAACAATAGTCAACCCAGAATCCTATATCCAGTGAAAATATCTTTCAGGAATAAAAGGGAATCAAGATATTCTTAGATGAAGGAAAACTCAGAGAATCTGTTAACAGACCCACTCTAAAAAAATGGCTAAAGAAAGTTCTCTAAACAGAAAGAAAACCTGGATCATCAAAAAGGAAGCAAGAACATAGTAAGCAAAAATACATATCATCAGGTTTCCCTTCTTTTAAGTTTTCTAAATTATGTTTGCCAACTGATACAAAAAATATAATCAACATAGTCTAATGTTGATTATGTCCTAAATTATGTAAAGAAAATAGTTAAGACACTTACATAGGAAAGGACACACACACACACACACACACACACACACACACACACAAAATGTCTACAGCACTGTGACAAGGGTCAGTTGGGTGTATGCCTCAGGAATTAACATTTTGAATGGGAACATTTTGAGTTGAGCTGCCTAGGAAAAATTTGTATGCTAACGAAGGAAACCATGAAGTATCTCAGTCTTTACCAAAGCAGAATGAACACAAAACAAAACAAAGAAAAAAAATCCACAATTACAGCTGGAGACTTCAACAGTCCTCTCTCAACAATTGATAGAATTAACAACACAGCAAATCAACAAGGATAAAAGTAATCAACACCACCATCAACCAACAGAATCTAGTTGGCAGTTAGAACAGCCCACCAAATACCAGAATATACCTTCCCTCTTTTAGGTCCCCACAGAACATATACCATGATAGATTATATTCTGGGCCGTAAAACAGACCTCAATAGATTCAAAAAATAGAAATCATAGAGTATGTTCTGTGACCACAATGAAACCAAACTCTGTATCAATAAGATAACAGGAAAATCTCCAAACATTTGGAAACTAAATAATACACTTTTAAATAATCCATGAGTGAAAGAGTAAATCACAAAGGAAATTTTTTAAAAATTAACATAACAAAATTCGTGGAATACAGCTAAGTAGTCCTGAGCGGAAATGCCATAGCACTATCTAAAATGCTTAGTTTAGAAAAGAGCCAAGCTTTCCCATCAATAAGCTCCCAACTCAAGTACCAAAAAATAGAGTACAAAATATACCCAAAACAAGAAGAAGAAAAAAAAGAGCAGAAATCAATTAAATTAAAATAGAAAAACAGTAAAATCAATAGAATAGAGCTGAGTCTTTGGGGGGAAAAAATCAATAATACTGATAAACTTCAAGCAAAACTGACAAAGGAAGATGACATAAACTTAGGAATGAAACAGAAGCTATAACTATAGATCCTGCAGACATCAAAAGGATAACAAGGGAATATTATGAACATTTCAACAAACATGAATTTAATAACTTCGATGAAACAGGACAATTTCTCTCTCTCTCTCTCTCCACACACACACACACACACACACACATACACACACACACACACACACACACTAATAATTTGAATGATCCTATCACTATTGAGGAAATTGAATATGTAATTTTTGTTTGCTTCACCAAATGTCAGTCTATCAACCATCCAGACATCCAGGGCCAGAATGCTGAGTATAGGTGAGTCTCTCTCCCTGCC